ATGGGAAAATTTGCTTCGGGGTGCGACCAAATTCGGAGGGTGGAACGGATTAACCGGATTTCCATTGAACCCTATGGAGAAATTTCCTTTGGGTTACGATCAACTCAGGATACGCCCAGAGTCACGGAACGGATTAAGTTTGTTTCCCGAGGTACCACTGTATTTCAATAAAGCACACAGATGGCTGTCTGCAAGAATGACCATTATTTGCCCCCCAATCATCATGGCTGATATTCGCAGAGAAATGCTGAAAATACCCCTCCCTCTTTTTTTTTTTTATAAAGTGGCTGAAACCATCAAGGAGAACACCTGATGGTCTCCCGTTTGCTGTCAGTTTGGCCCGTTTGTACAACCCTGAGCAAGAACTTGGCTGGGAAGCATGGATAGGGGTGAGGGACGCCACCCAGCCACTGGGGTGGGCGACAGTAGAGAAACGTGCCCATGTAAAGAGTTGAGAAAGTGACTGCAAGGTTGTAGCTCGATTGGTTGTGTGTTGGGGAGGTGCGTTCATTTGCAATAGAAACCGAGGAACCGTAGTTCTTATCGCCATCTTGCAGTGCTAAACCTGGTTTAGCTGATCTTGCAGCTGAATTAGAGTGGGATCCCAAGGCAGGTGATCCAAAGGGGCAGGGGTCATAGAAAGCAGGAAGACCCAAGGGTGTGTTTTTGCCCCCATCTCTGTGCTGTCAGTCAAGCAGCTTTCCTGGAATTTGGAAACAGATTAGAAAAATGGATTTCTTGCTCCATAGTGGGAATTCAACTTTGAAAAGAGGTCGGAATGAAGTTAACTGGCTGGCTTTCTCGTACACTTATGCTGGTGTGTATTTGCTGGAGGGGGCGAACTGGTTAAGACAGTTACGCGGTGGATTTTATTTTATTTTATTTTATTTTATTTTATTTTATTTTATTTTATTTTATTTTTTCCGTTCCTGAACTCTGCCAGGGAGCATCTCCAAACGGGGTGGCTCAGGAGTGTGGAATGCATTGGGGGGATAAAGACGGCGAGGAAAAAATTAGGGAAAGTAAACACAGCCAATCTCTGGGTATTAGGAGAAACGATTTGCTTAAAAAAAAAAAAACCAATTTGTGTATATTAGAAACCAGTGCACATAAATAATGCATAGATTTAGAGATACCATATCTTAATCAGAAACACATTTAACCCAGTGCCAGCCAATTTTTAACTTTTAACAGGATGAGTATCGTTTTTGTTTTTTGGAGAATTGTAGTATAGTAAACACGGCATTCAAAGGGACAAAATAAGGATTTTCAAAGGTTCCGTCCCAACCTAACGAAATTCACGTATTGTGAATTTAATGCAGTTTTTCCCCCAGAGTGCAGGAGAATGGACATTTCTCTCCCCTCTGCCTCATTTCTCTAGTGTGCCTGTTTGTTCCGGTTAAAATTTAGGGCGACCAAGAAGGAGGCCTCTACGAAAATAAGGCGCAGCTGGCGGAGAAATCCGACAGCGAAGGGAGCGACTATGCCCCGAACAACAGCAAGAAGAAGAAACTCAAAGACAAGAAGGAGAAGAACGCCAAGCAGAAAAGGAGGCAGCAAGAAGAGGAGGAGAATGAAGATGAAGGCTTGAAGGTACCTACGTTCAAAATATTGGAGACTTACGGAGCTCAGCCTTGGCCTTGTGGCCTGGGAGCGGCTCTTGATGTGGTGTATTGTTGTCACCCTTCTCCACTGGGGTTAGATGGTGGGACCAGGGAAGTGGTGGGCTCCCTCTGTATGCAAGCCACCTCTCTGTGATGCTCTAATGTGGGCTCTTCCATTGAGCAGGGGGCTGGACTAGGTGGCCTCAAGGATTCTCCGTGTGGAAGGAAACCTACAAAGTAAAATTCGGTGCTTAGAACCAGAGTAAGGGAGCCAACATGGGTGGTCTTAGCAAAGAGGTGGGCAGGAGAAGAAGGGGAATCTGTCCAGCTAAGCCAAGATCTTTCTGCTTCCCTTGGAGGAACCGAAGACTTCGGCGCAGCTGATGGATGAGTGGGGCCTGGATGATGTTGACTATGCTTTTTCGGAGGATGACTATCATATGTTGACAAATTACAAGGCGTTTAGCCAGTTTCTAAGGTGGGTAAATTCCTGGTTAGCTCCTGTAATGGTATGTGGGAAAAGTCCTTGGGAGATGGGATGAAGAGATGCTGCCTAAGGAATGGTCAGATAAGAGAAGGCATAGCCCGCAGCTGCATGATGGGAGGAGAAGAAAGGAGCTCAGAAGGGACCCACCCTAGTTTCTTGGGCTGTAAAGGAGATGGTGTGGAGATTTGTCC